GAAGAAATGGGTGCATTCCGAGAGATGTATCAACTACCAAAATTGAACCAGGAAGAAACAGAAAACCTGAACAGGCCTATAACCACTAAGGAAATTGAAGCAGTCATCGAAAATCTCCCAAAAAACAAAAGCCCAGGGCCAGATGGCTTCCCAGGGGAATTCTATCAGACATTTAAAGAAGAATTAGTACCTATTCTCCTGAAACTGTTCCAAAAAATAGATATAGAAGGAAAACTACTAAACTCATTTTATGAGGCCACCATCACCTTGATCCCAAAACCAGACAAAGACCCCATTAAAAAGGAGAATTACAGACCAATATCCTTGATGAACATGGATGCAAAAATTCTCGCCAAAATACTAGCCAATAGGATCCAACAGTACATTAAAAGGATTATTCACCACGACCAAGTGGGATTTATCCCTGGGCTGCAAGGCTGCTTGAACATCCGCAAATCAATCAACATGATACAATACATCAACAAAAGAAAGAACAAGAATCATATGATCCTCTCAATAGATGCAGAAAAAGCATTTGACAAAGTACATCATCCTTTCAGAGTATAGGGATAGAAGGTACATACCTCAATATCATAAAAGCCATCTATGAAAAACCTACAGCGAATATTATTCTCAATGGGGAAAAGCTGAGAGCTTTTCCCCTAAGGTCAGGAACGCGGCAGGGATGTCCACTATCACCACTGCTATTCAACATAGTATTAGAAGTCCTAGCCACAGCAATCAGACAACAAAAAGAAATCAAAGGCATCCAAATCGGCAAAGAGGAAGTCAAACTCTCACTCTTTGCAGATGATAGGATACTGTATGTGGAAAACCCAAAAGACTCCACCCCAAAACTGCTAGAACTCATACAGGAATTCAGGAAAGTGGCAAGATATAAAATCAATGCACAGAAATCAGTGGCATTCCTATACACCAACAACAAGCCAGAAGAGAGACAAATCAAGGAGTCAATCCCATTTACAATTGCACCCAAAACCATAAGATACCTAGGAATAAATTTAACCAAAGAGGCAAAGGATCTTACTCAGAAAACTATAAAATACTCATGAAAGAAATTGAAGAAGACACAAAGAAATGGAAAAACGTTCCATGTTCATGGATTGGAAGAACAAACATTGTGAAGATGTCCATGCTACCTAGAGCAATCTACACATTCAATGCAATCCCCATCAAAATACCATCCACTTTTTTCAAAGAAATGGAACAAATAATCCTAAAATTTGTATGGAACCAGAAGAGACCCCGAATAGCCAGAAGAATATTGAAAAAGAAAAGCAAAGCTGGCGGCATCCCAATTCCGGAATTCCAGCTCGATTACAAAGCTGTCATCATCAAGACAGTATGGTACTGGCACAAAAACAGACACACAGATCAATGGAACAGAATAGAGAGCCCAGAAATGGACCCTCAACTCTATGGTCAACTCAACTTTGACAAAGCAGGAAAGAATGTCCAATGGAAAAAAGACAGTCTCTTCAACAAATGGTGTTGGGAAAATTGGACAGCCACATGCAGAAGAATGAAACTGGACCATTTCCTTACACCACACACAAAAATAGACTCAAAATGGTTGAAAGACGTAAATGTGAGACAGGAGTCCATCAAAATCCTAAAGGAGAACACAGGCAGCAACCTCTTCGACCTCAGCCGCAGCAACTTCTTCCTAGAAACATCGCCAAAGGTAAGGGAAGCCAGGGCAAAAATGAACTATCGGGATTTCATCAAGATAAAAAGCTTTTGCACAGCAAAAGAAACAGTCCACAAAACCAAAAGACAACCGACAGAATGGGAGAAAATATTTGCAAATGACCTATCAGATAAAGGGCTAGTATCCCAAATCTATAAAGAACTTATCAAACTCAACACCCAAAGACCAAATAATCCAATCAAGAAATGGGCAGAACACATGAACAGACATTTTTCCAAAGAAGACATCCAAATGGCCAAGAGGCACATGAAAAAGTGCTCAACATCACTCGGCATCAGGGAAATCCAAATCAAAACCTCAAGAAGATACCACCTCACACCAGTCAGAATGGCTAAAATTCACAAGTCAGGGAACGACAGATGTTGGCGGGGATGTGGAGAAAGGGGAACCCTCCTACACTGTTAGTGGGAATGCAAGCTGGTGCAGCCCCTCTGGAAAACAGTTTGGAGGTTCCTCAAACAGTTGGAAATAGAGCTACCCTACGATCCAGCAATTACACTACTGGGTATTTACCCCAAAGATACAAATGTAGGGATCCGAAGGGGTACGTGCACCCCAGTGTTTATAGCAGCAATGTCCACAATAGCCAAACTGTGGAAATAGCCAAGATGTCCATCGACAGATGAATGGATAAAGAAGATGTGGTATATATACACAATGGAATATTATGCAGCCATCAAAAGGAATGAGATCTTGCCATTTGCAATGCCATGGATGGAACTGGAGGGTGTTACGCTGAGTGAAATAAGTAAATCAGAGAAAGACATGTATCATATGACCTCGCTGATATGAGGAATTTTTAACCTCAGGAAACAAACTGAGGGTTGCTGGAGTGGTGGGGGTTGGGAGGGATGGGGTGGCTGGGTGATAGACATTAGGTAGGGTGTGAGCGCTGTGAATTGTGCAAGACTGTTGAATCACAGATCTGTACTTCTGAAACAAATAATGCAACATATGTTAGGAAAAAAGATAAAGAAGAAGATAGCAGGAGGGGAAGAATGAAGGGGAGTAAGTCGCAGGGGGAGACGAACCATGAGAGACGATGGACTCTGAAAAACAAACTGAGGGTTCTAGAGGGGAGGAGCGTGGGGGGATGGGTTGGCCTGGTGACGGGTATTAAAGAGGGCACATTCTGCATGGAGCACTGGGTGTTGTGCACGGACAATGAATCATGGAACACTACATCAAGAACTAATGATGTAATGTATGGTGATTAACATAACAATAAAAAAATTTTAAAAAAAGAAAATAAAAATTAAAAAAACACTGGATATTTGCAGGAAAAAAAAAATTAAAATCAAGTGGGCGCCTGGGTGGCTCAGTCGTTAAGCAACTGCCTTCGGCTCAGGTCATCGTCCCAGGGTCCTGGGATCGAGTCCCACATCGGGCTCTCTGCTCCGCGGGCAGCCTGCTTCTCCCTCTCCCACTCCCCCTTATGAGAGCTGTGTTCCCTCTCTCACTGTGTCTCTCTCTGTCAAAAAAATAAATAAAATCTTTAAAAAAAAATTTTAAAAAAACCAAACTTGTTATAAATTCATTCATTCATTCATTTGTTCACTCATTCATTCAAATAAAAACTTCTTGCCCTCATGAGCCCAAGAAAGACTTTGATTTTCATCTTGGGGCCAGAACAACACACAACACATCTTCCCTAACTGTGAGAGAGGCTGGGAAGTTGAGTACTCAGCATTTTTCACGCAGCAGTAGAGGAAGCCAGGGGAAGGGCTAGTTGAGTATCAGTACTGACCACGCCACCTCCACACCAGAAATGGACGTCTGAGAACCTTCTCTGTTCCTTCTTTTGTACCAGTTAGAAAATGAGACTAGCCAGGTCTGCTGGGGTACAAAGGATACAAGCTCCTCTGGCTTTTCTCAAGCTTTATCCTACTACTAAGTGAAATACCAGAAAGCGTCATCTAATACAATATTGTTTGGACTGAAAATTCCATTTGTTCAAGGCTTTCAGTTTGGGTTCAATTAATCTGTCTGCCTACTTATCAGCTGTGCCCAGGTGAACACTGTAGGTTAAGTATGCCTTCAAAGGGGGTTACTTAACACAATTCTTCTCCTAAGAGGGTGCTGCATTAGCAAAACCTAGTTCAAGGCTGCCCAGTGCTGCCCTCTGAGGATTAACACAAGGTTGACCTTATTTGTACGACAAAGAGTGTTACGAAACGCTGATTTAAAGGTAAAAAAAATTAAAAACAACAACGACAGAGTGGAAAGAACAGTGGGCTAGGAATCAGAAGAGCTGGGCCTGGGGTCAAGTTCTGCCACTTGTCACCCAAGTATGCTTTCCTTCAACAAGTCACTGAACCCGTGTATCTGGCACTGGGCTAAGTAAGGAGGAGGGGGCGTGTGAAGATGCCAAATAAACAAGATCATCTCTGTCCTCAAAAAGATGATCTTTTAGGGGCACCTGGGCGGCTCAGTCATTAAGCGTCTGCCTTCAGCTCAGGTCATGATCCCAGAGTCCTAGGATCGAGCCCTGCATCGGGCTCCTCGCCAAGGAGAGCCCCTCTCCCTCTCCCCCTGCTGTGTTTCTGCTCTTGCTATCTCTCTCTCTCTCTCTCTCTGTCAAATAAATAAATAAATAAATAAAATCTTAAAAAAAAAAAAAGATGATCTTTTATTTGGGTGAGCCCTTAATCTTGTAGATCCTCAGCTTCATCACCTACAACTCAGACATCACCATTCTCAAAGTGTTATTAGGAAATAGGGCAGGATAGTTCAACCTCAGTGCCCTTGACGTTTTGGGCCAGATAATGCCTTGTTGTGGGGGGCTTTTCTGTTCATTGCAGGATATTTAGTGGCATCCCTGGCTTCTACTCCCTAGATTCCAGTAGCTCCCTGCCACCGCTCCCGCTCTCCCGATAACAACCCAATGTTCCCTGGGACCCATTAGCCCCAGTTGAGAACCTCTGAAATAGGGTGATATATATGAAAGCATTTAAAAAAGCATAAAGCCCCAAATCAAGGCAGCATTAATGTACATCTATTTGTAAGACTACTTGTCCAAAAAAAAAAATTTCCTTTAAAGTATTTACAGTTTCCTTAGGAATGTTTTATTTTCTATTTTTATATATTTTGCCTACCATTAAAAGCCCTCTAGGGCTTTTTGGCTAATTTTCTTCACCCAAACAAAGCATCCTCATTAGAACATAGTTTTTAAATGTATCACTGTACTAACATGACAGTCAGAGTCAAACATAATTGCCATCTCTACAAAGCAGAAATTTTATCCAAAATCAAAGTACTCAGTGCCTACCTTTTAAGGTCAAGGGACTGGATCTTGTGAATTCTGTATTTGATGGCCTGTGCTGTTTACGAACTTCCAAGTACTCCTTAACTCTTGAATCAATGGTTTCTTTTAACAGTAAACAGACTTCCTAAAGTAAATTGAAAAATGAGATATAATTTTCTCATGTAATGCAATGCAAAAAGAGTCAACATCGTGCATATTAAAAAGTCAACACTGAACATTTTATTTTGTTTGCTTTTTTACTTAGCTGTGAAAGCTGAAAAAAAAAATGCTATCTGTGTTCGAGGGTAATGTGCCAGGTTTAAGTTCGCTACTGAGGTTTGTTCAAAACCATGATGTTGGCTTACTCTGTGACCCGAGAAATTCATTTCATTGCCCTCTGCCTCAGTTTCACATTTCTAAAAGGAAGATAAAAAGAGTGAAGTGCCCCGTGTGGCCAAGCAAGACTGGGGATGGCAGTCCCCTGCCCCCAGTGGCTCCGGGGGACTGCTGCCGTGTGTAAGGGTACCAGGGACAGGGTCATCAGCTCTTCAGATTTGTTTAAGAGGAGCCAGCCACAGTGATTTTTATGTGAATATTTCCCATTTTTCAAACTTGGTTCAAAACCTTTTTTTTTTTTTTAAAGATTTTATTTATTTATTTGAGAGAGAGAGCATGAATGGGGTGAGCGGCAGGGGAAGGAGCAGGCTCTCTGCTGAGCAGGGAGCCCGATGCGGGGCTCGATCCCAGGACCCCGGGATCATGACCTGAGCCGAAGGCAGACGCTTTAGGGACTGAGCCACCCAGGCACTGCCCCCCAAAACAAACAAACAAATAAAAACCCTTTTTTAACCTAAACACCACGATTCACTAGTTTCTGGACTTAGGTTTAGAAATCTACTGAAGAAAGAACAGCATTGAGTGATGGGCTGAAGAGAGAACTGGAAACCAGTAATGTGATTTTCTTCCACACTCTTCTCGATGATACTGTACATGCCCATTTGCTTTTGTGAAAACTGCACTATATTCACCAATTAATTAATGGTGAAAATAATTTAACTTCTCATATTTCCCTAAAGTAGATTAATATTAGGCAACAGAAACACATGGTTTTAATTCAATGTCAACATACCACACCACTAGCAAATTTCTGGAGTTGTCTATTGTTTTATTTATCAGTGTTACTTATGAAAAGAAAAACAAAACTCTTAAAGTCCACCACACAACAGGAAGAAACTGTCCACTAGAGACATGTAGCCATCGCAGGGAAAGGGAAAAATGGCACACAAATCTAAATTTCTTAATTTAGATTAAGAAACTGGTGTGTAAGGACTGATAATTCTGGTCCAAGTCCCAGCCTCTGCAGAAGGCTTGGAGTTGCCGAGGTCAACTCAAACCTGTTTCACTGGTTTCTTCAATGCCATCTCAGGTTGATCTCTTAGAATCTTCATAAATTAAAACAAGAACAAAATTCTAAATGGCTCTGAAGGGCAATGATTGCCAAACTTGTTTTTTATTGCTAATACATACACTCCTCAACAGTACTGAAAATCCTTGATTTAATTCACAAACGTGATCTACATAAAATGTAAACACTGGTCTCCTCTCTCTGCTCTCATTTTGCAGCCCAAAGATGCAGTGCCTTGTGGAATACAGAGATATCCGTTTACAGTTGAGCGTTTTGGCATTGTTCACACAACAGAAAGGCAGCCTTGCCTCATACTGTTGTTTTAACAATTAAAGAATTTTGCTTCACATGCAGGGTTCAACTATGACTGAGCTAGAAAATATGTGAAAGACATACATGGAAACAGAGACTGTTAAAATTTGGCCATAAATGCCCTATAAGGCTAGAACTAAAAATAGTACGACAAAAATAAAACAAAGGCCCATACAACACAAACTTTCTCCCTATAGTTACGGGGCTTTCCTTCCATGAGTCAGGTTTGACGAATGGAAGGTAGACCATGTGCAGTGTGGTCAAGATACCCTAGTAACTGACCACACCACACTTAGCGAAGCATTCTCTTCAGAACCAGAGCAATGCAAGAAAAGACAAATTCCAAGCTACACCAGAAGGGCACATAAGAAGACCAAGATGAAATCGAAGACCAAGAGGACAGAGATATATACAGCATTTCTAGGCTAACAGGGGCTCACACTTGCTTCCTCAAGTTCACAAATGAAACAGTTCAAGTTTGCCTGCTTGGGTACAAAGACTACTCGTGCTGGACTCAAAATAAACTTGGGTTTAATACATGCAATTAGTTCCTTTTTCTGAAAAGGAAATGGACATTCTTAAGACTTTCACTATATTAAAGCCTCTGCTAAAATGCAATCAAATTGATTGCTCATGAAATCCCAATCATGAAATGATCTAATAATAAAAAAGATGAAAGCACTGAGACACTGAATACAGACTAGAATCATATCCTTTCCTTGACTTGCTTTTCTCCTTTCTCCGTCTCTCTCTCTCAGCAATTTTAATGTCAATGAACAAACTTTAAAGGAACAACTTCGAGTATAAGCAGCAAACCATCCGCTTTGCTTTGAGAGGGAAGCTTGGCTTGCTGGCATAACCTGCCTTCTTGCAGCCAACGCTGCAGCCAAGCTCTGCAGGTCCAATCGTGCACTGAGCACCTTTGCTAAGTCATGCCTTGCTGCCCGGACGTAGTACTAGGTGGGGCAGCAACAGCTGTGTGTGGCACCCTGGAAAAATCTAGCCTCATGCTTTGCCTAGAAGGTGATTCACACATTCATACCTTTATTTTAAAGCCTTCCAAAGCAACTGACTCTTGGCAAAACTGACTACATATCAACAAGAAAGGGCGAAGCCTGAGGTGGTAAAGCTGGGAGAGAATGGAGGAAAAGGTGGGCCCGAAACAGTGGATTCTAGAATGCTGTTAACGTCAGTCAAGTCAGAAGACTTTTGGGGTGAGGTCCCCTTAGGTGAGCATTAGTCACTTTGGGGAAACAGAGTGTGGGTAAGCCAAATTTGGAATTCCATGGAGTTGAGTTATAGTAGGAGATGCTGGCTTACTAAATATTAAGTCCTGAAGAGGACAATCCATTTATTAACCTGAACAATAAATCTCATTATTCCAAATCTTGTGCCTCCCTTCTCCCAGCCGTGGGCTACTAGATCTCAAGTACAATATTGCCCAGCCAAGTCCTGATTGTATTAGTACCTTGTGATTGAAAATGTATTACTTATAAATTTTCTTGGAGGGAGTTTTTGTTTTCTAGTAGTCTTCAAAAGTTGACTAAAAACAATCACCACAGTAAAGGTGTTTTATGTTTTTTTTTTTTTTGCTTTTGCTTTGTTTTGTTGCCACTATCACTAGATTCTTCTCCATATACTACCTTTCAATAAAAACTTATTTTTTATTTCTAGCTCTAAAAAGCTATTGTGATGAGTATCACGGAGGACACAAAGTGCTATAATATTCTGCAAGTTATGTGAAAGCCACTGCCTCACTATCGCTCTCCCTGCTCTCTAGTAAAAGGACATGGAGAAGGAAGCAGAGCATCTGAGGAGAGCCAGATGCACTCTCGAACCTTTTGCCACAGCAGCACTGGGGTGGGATCTTGGGGAAGCTGAGAGCTAGCAGTGACTCAGAGGCCTCCGGTTGAACTCTTTCATTTGCAGATAAGGAGACTGAGGCCCAGGGAGATCAAACACCAGGCTCCCAGCCACATGACCATTCAGCCATCCTCCCTCCCTGACTGGCCTCAGTGAGAAGGAATACAGTCAAATATCTTCACACTTGCTGTCAAAGACTCGTGTTAAGAAAAGTATGGTACAAGGGGGGACTGGGTGGCTCAGTCATTAAGTGTCTGCCTTTGGCTCAGGTCATGATCCCAGGGTCTTGGGATCGAGCCCCGCATCAGGTTCCCTGCTTTGCGGGAAGTCTGCTTCTCCCTCTCCCACTCTCCCTGTTTGTGTTCCCTCTCTCACTGTGTCTCCCTCTGTCAGATAAATAAATAAAATCTTAAAAAAAAAAAAAAGTATGGTAGAAGACAAAAGAGTGGACGATGATAATTTAAGAATTAAATAAGAATTTGATTTCAAGGTGTGAAAGATCAGAATTGTGTTCACCCCACACCTGCTTCAGGGTCTTGGTCTGTCCTTTACAAACAGATTAAAATCCCTGCTTGCCTAGAACCCTCACTTGACCATCGTCTTCTGTTTTAACTATAATGAGCCCTTTCCCCCAAAACAAAGAGGTTGAAAATTTCTGGTTTAAATAATTTAGCTTATGAAACATATAGATGTGTCACTTTCTCGGGGAAAAAGAAGCAAGTATATGTCTGTCATTGGAATATAACAACTGTTTCTCAAGGGTTAAATATAATTCAATATTTTTTGCCCACTAACAAAAATGAAAGCTGGAAAGAGTTAATATTTCTTCTAGCAGCAGCAACTTGCATTTAAACAGTGAACAGTTTTGTGGTACCTCTTTCTTCTGTTCAGAAAACCAGCTGTTATCTTTGTTTGAACCTTGTGGCAGTATGTGAAGATCCACCAGGACAGCAAAATTCCCACACTAAAAAGACATTAATGGCAGAGTTAGCTCACACCCAGCAAACAATCAGAGAAAAATCTAACAAATTCCTATGTGGTTGCTCATGATGAAATGGCAACAAAGTTCCCTAGTGGACAGAAACCTTCATATGGGGCAGGGATTACACGTCCTAAACCTACTAGTTTTTGTAAGTTTAATATTTAGGGTAGAAATGCTAAGGAGAAATATAATTTTAGTCATGACAGTAAAGACAAAATATCTATCTCTGGGCCACGCCTTGAAAGGGGATTGCTCAAGACATCCAGTGGCAGTTGGACGACTACCAGACATAGAAAGAAGTCAAATAGGCCAGTCCTGGGTAGGCTCCAGAAGAGAAGGGTTCCGTGGATAGTCAGGGCAAGTCTTTCTTCTAAGTAGGAAAGAAAAGATATAAGCTACTGCATTTTTAGACAGACAAAAGGAATGGCTGGGACAGCACATCTTAGAAATGGAAATGAGGACAAACGAAAAAGAACCAAGGAGAGGAAGGTAGATGCTGAATGACAGTTATCAAAACTAAATTAGTTTCATTAAAATATGCTATAAAACTGTCCAAATCCTGCTTCCTGTCACCGTACAAGAGCGTAGCCAATAACCATGTGTGGCTACTGAGCACATGAAATGTGGCTACTATGACTGAGAAGCTGAATTTTAAACTGTATTTAACTTTAATTTAATTTAAACAGCCATATGTGGCTAGCCACTCTGTGGCACAGCCATAGACCCTGTAAAATGTAGCCTTATAAATACCCACACCTTATGAGTAATTTCTGAAAATCTCTAACTGTGGATGAGCTAACTCAGAAAGGAATAGATGACCAAGACTGCAGGTTGGGGATGGTCTCCGAGGCCCAAAGGGTCACTGATGGGCCGGTAGGAAAATGTCACTTCTGCACCTCTTTGGCTAAATAGTTTTTTTTTTTTCCTTTTTAAATCCTGTGCTATAATTCAATGGTGAAAGGAAAGTATTTTCAACTAATGACCTGAGAATACCAACATAAATACGGGAAGAAAATAAAACGTGACATTGACATCATACCATACACAAAAATTAATTTGAGATGGATGACAGACCTCCACATAAAAACCAAAACTGTCTTGCCAAACAGAATAGAAAAAAATTTCTTAGAACCCACAAAGCACAAAATACAGAGGAAAAATATTATTAAATTGAACTCTGTCAAAATTGAAAACCTTTGCTCATTAATAAAATGAATATGTATGTCACAGGCTGAGAGAAAATATTCATAAATGCATGTATCTGACATAAAGGACTGGCATCCAAAATAAAGAACTCCTACAAGTCGATATTAAGAAAACAAACAACTCAAGCTTGAATAGATACTTCACAAGATAAACAAACAGCTAATAACACATGTAAAAGTATTCAACATCAGTCATCAGACAAATGCAAATTAAAACCACTAAGAGATACAACCCTGTACCTCAGAATGACTAAAATTAAAAAGACTGACACACCGTATGTTGGTAAGGATGTGAAGCAACCCAAACTTTCATACATTGCTAGTGGAAACGTAAGATGGTTCGACCACGTTGGCAAACAGTTGGTCAGTTTCCTACAGTTAAACATACATTTCTAGCCAACAATTCCACTTTAGGTATTTACCAAGAGAGATAAAAACATGTGAACAGAAAGACTTGTACGCAAATGTTCATCGAAATTTTATTTGTAATAGCTAAGACAGAAAACAACCCAAGTCATCAACAGAAGAATAAACAAAGTGTGGTACATTCATTCAGTGGAATGCTCCTCACAAAACTACTGATACACTCAACATGGACTGATCTCCACCTTATGTTGAGCAAAAGAAGCCAGGCTAAAAGAATACCTATTGTATGATTCCACTAATATAAAGTTCTAGAGCAGCAAAACTAATCTGGGGTCAAAGCAATCAGATAGTGGGCCGCCTGGGTGGCTCAGGCGGTTAAGCATCCACCTTCGGCCCAGGTCATGATCCCAGGGTCCTGGGATCAAGCCCCACGTCAGGCTCCCTGCTCAGCAGGGAGCCTTCTTCTCCCTCTCCCTCTGCCTGCCACTCCCCCTGCTTGTGCTCTCTCTCTCTCTGTCAAATAAATAACCAAAAAATCTTAAAAAAAAAAAAAAAAGGTAATCAGATAGTGATTATCTAGGGAGCAACTGAGTGAGAATAGGCACAGAAGAACTCGGTGTGGTGATGGGAATGTTCTATATCTTGGTGGGTTATATGCTAAAGATCAGTTCATTTCGGCATATATAAATTATACATCACTAATAATTTTTTTAAAGCTGTGTAAAAGCACATTTATATGTACTGACAGTTATATAAAATGTATTATGTCCCTGAAAACATATGGATATTTTGGGGAAGACCAAAGTGAAGTTCATCAGGTAAAAAATCATGAAGTATGTTGAAAGAGGATCTCCTACGATGTCAAACAGTAGAGTGTAACCCACTGAACTGCGGTATACTGTGTTATAACCAGTATTATATTTTAAAGAAAGAGAATCAAAGGGAATATATGAATAGAATAAGAAATACCAGTATGTCACATGGTAAGATCAAGTCTTGTTTTGTGAAACTTATGTATGAGTATAATGACTTATGATGTAAAGCCTCTTACTGTGGATTTGTGATCAAAACTGTTTAAAAACCATACTCAAGTATACTGTTACTCTAAAAGTTTCTTCACAATGCTGATTATAGATTTAACCTTTAAGGAGTATGCTGCCACCAGGTGGAGGTCACATGCCACAACTACATGATCTTAGCCAGGGGTTATTAACCTTTTGTGTGCCATGGACCTCTTTGGGCAGCTGTGAAGCTGATGACACTGGCTAAGAATAAGGTTTTTAAATGCATGAAACACAATGCATAGGACTAAAAAAAAACAAAAAAGATTTGACTGAAGCATGATTATCCAAATTAAAAATATTTTGTATGTGATTTAGTAATTATGTACTTGTTTATTAAGGCACTGGCTCTTCTCATATAGTGGTAGATCTAATAACTACCATAAATACAAAGTAGTGGTAAGCATAAATGATACCTTCAGATATGTGCCACAATTACAACATGAAAAGAGGTATGATTCTAATGGTGACATCTACTGCGAATACTACTGTGTTTTAAATACTTAACTTAGAGGGCACCTAGGTGGCTCAGTCAGTTAAGTGCCCAACTCTTGGTCATGATCTCAGGGCTGTGAGATCAAGCCCTGTGTCGGGCTCCACGCTCAGCACAGTCTGCCTGAGATTCTCTCTCTCCCTCTCCTTCTGCCTCTCCCCCAGCTTTGCACACGCATGCACACACATGCTCTATAAAATAAATAAATACTTAACTTATAATAAAAAATAAATTGATTAGAATTTGGTTAAAATAAAGATGTAATTTTGTTCCCATCCAAGTTCACTGACCCTCTGAATTCTGCCACAGACCTGTTGAGGCTCCATAGATGGCAGAACAAGAGCCTCTCCAAAGCAATAGGATGTGCCTTACGCACATCTTACTGGGTTTCCTGCAAGTGTTTAATCCTGACTCCTCAAACCAAGTTCTCTACAACCTCCTCTCTATTAGCAAAAATATCTTTTAAAATTAAAAAAAAAGTGATGCTTGAACAATCTGAATCAATAGTATATAATAGTAGCTTTCTACAGAATTAAATAGCAAGGTCCAATTTGGAATTTTCCCATCATTTCATAACTTTGATCACGAATAACCCAGTGTAAGTTTGATGATAAACAGACTGATTAGAATGCCTTTTTTTTTTTTTTTAATAAATCACGGAATCTTACTCTGGTGTTCAAACTTTCCTGGATTTCAGCCAGACCCCACCACCCGGCATGCACGCGGTTCCCCCCCCGGCCACCTCCCCCGGCCAAAAGCAGGCTTCTCCCTCTGCAGCCAGCAGTTCTGAGTTCTCCAGCAAGAGCTCTCTCAAACTCCCACACTAAGCAGCAGGACTGTGCCTTTCTACAGTCCCCTGCTCTCAAAGCTTTGCTGCTTTTCTCCCATGAGTAAACACGTTGGGCGGGGGATTCTCTTACTGCTGCCAGAAGCACAGCCTTCACTTCTCCTTAATTAGGAGGTAATTTCATCTCTCAGCAGATAAACTGTCCAGCTCTCTTCAGAAAGGAGGAACACACTAACCATCACTTCTTTCTTAGGCCTGAGCTGCTCATTTTACACAGGCCAAGTTATCTCTAACAGACCAAAGGCTACTAGAAGAAGCTTCGCATCCCATGCCCTGGGTTGTGAGTCAACAGGCCAGGGTCTGATCCAGCTTCTAACCCCCTCCACCCAGAGGTTTCAGCCAAAAGCCTGGGAGTCAACCCTAACTCCTCCCTTTCCCTAGCCCTCCACCATCAGTCACCAAGTCTTGTGGATTTTACTTCTTAAAGAGCTAACCGCCCCCCCACCTCCACCCTGTCTCTTGTTCTGCAGCTCCTATCATCTCCCACTTGGAATATTAGGGCTGCTTCTCTTGGTGTCTCATGAACTCTCAATGCCCCTATCAGAGCAATCTCTAACATACGTGCTTCTTCTGCCCTCTGCTTCTAATGCACCTCAATGTGTTTAGTGAACATTTATGCATCCTTGAACCCTAGTAAGGGCATGGACATCTCTGTGGAGCTTTTCTGAATAGTCTATCACTTCCTCCTCTGGATCAGGCATATGCTTCACATGCTTATTTATTCCTGCACTAAACAGCTGGTCTATGTAGGGGGCGCCCCTGCTAGGCTGTTAGCTCCTTGGTATAGACAGACAGGGTCCCAATCTCATTTGACTCTACGCTGCAGCAATCAGCACAGGACCAGCTCATAATAAGTGCTTAATAGTGTGTGTGTGTGTGTGTGTGTGTGTGTGTGTGTGTGTGTGTGTGTG